CAGTACACAAATATTTTTAGAAAAAATATATAGTAATTTATCAATAGGTTTTTTATGTTCCAAAGGTTGTAGTACATTCCTAGTTATGAGACTGGCTTACTACAGGTGATATTTTGCCAATATCTCCTTTACTGTATATGCAGTACACAAATATTTTTAGAAAAAAATTACTGTAATTTATCAAAAGGGTTTGTTTATTTTCCAAAGGTTGTAGTACACTCTTAGTTACAAGACTGACTTACTACAGGTGAGATTTTGCCAATACCTCCCTTACTGTACATACAGTACACAAATATTCTTAGAAAAAAACTACTGTAATTTACCAAAAGGGTTTGTTCATGTTCTAATGCTTGTAATACATCCCTAGTTACAAGACTGACTTACTACAGGTGAGATTTTGCCAATACCTCCCTTACTGTACATACAGTACACAAATATTCTTAGAAAAAAACTACTGTAATTTACCAAAAGGGTTTGTTCATGTTCTAATGCTTGTAATACATCCCTAGTTACAAGACTGACTTACTACAGGTGAGAGTTTGCCAATATCTCCCTTACTATTGTGTACTGTACATATATGACGGGAGGTATTGGCAAAATCTCACACGTAGTATCTACAATGTCTTGTATCTAGGAACATATTTCAACCTTTGGAACATGAAAAAAAACCTATTGTAAATTACTGTAATTTTTTCATAAAATATTTGTGCATTGTACATACATTAAGGGAGATATTGGCAAACTCTTACGTTTTGTAACTAGGTATATACTACAACCTTTGGAACATGAAAAAGCCTTTTTGGTGAATTACAGTAGTTTTTTTCTAAACATATTTGTGCACTGTGCATACAGTAAAGCAGGTATTGGCAAAATTTCACCTCTAATAAGTCAGTCTTCTACAACCTACAACCTCTGTAACATGAAGAGAAAAAAATACAGTAGCCTAATTTTTTCATGAAAATATTTGTGTACTGTACAGACTGTAAGGGAGATGTTGGAAGTATTGTCTAAGGCGAGACATTGGCAAAATATATTTAGTCAGTTTGCCCACTAGGCATTTACTATAGTCCTGTGAACATTAATTTGAATGAATTATTGTACTTCGTTTTGTACTGTGAGGTAAATTTGCAGACGGTTCCTAAAGCAGCCTAGTCAAATATGAAATGTGAAACTAACTTTACAGCACTGATGAAGGTTATGATGACAGAACAAGACGACAGTACAGACAACAGAATAAGATGACAGTTAGGACGACAGAACAGGACGACAGTTAGGACGACAGAACAGGAAGACAGTTAGGATGACAGAATAAGATGACAGTTAGGACGACAGAACAAGACGACAGTAAGGACGACAGAATAAGATGACAGTTAGGACGACAGAACAAGACGACAGTAAGGACGACAGAATAAGATGACAGTTAGGACGACAGAACAAAACGACAATAAGGACGACAGTAATTAAATGACAGAGAAAAAGCAGGCAGGACGACAGATTAAGACGACGTCAACAGACAACATACACGCCTACATATACTGATTTACCTGAACAAGTAGGCAATGACTGTAGACAAAGACAAATGTATAGTACAAAACACAAAGCGGTTGACTCATTTTTGACACAAATGGAACCTCATACGTCTCATGCACTGAACGCGCTCTCCTCCACATCACGAGTAGGCACGCCCCTTATTGCTGATTGGCTACAAGTTTGTTTTGCAATTCGGCCCGAATCAGTTTTCTAAAGTGTTTTTGAAAAATCACTTACTCTGCCTTTAATGTAACTTT